CATAAGAAATCTGTCATACATATTATTTAGACGAACTAGATGCAAAAGTAATTTCAAAGTATGAAATTCACTGTATTTTAATGTTTGAATTAAACTAATTTCAATGAATGGACTTTTATTTTTAATGAGTGAAATAGGCAAACATAATTTTTATTTTTTTATGATTGAAATGGGTAATTCCAATAATTGATTAAAATAACGTAAGTAAATTCTATTAATTGAAATTGACGCCGATTATTTTAAACAATAAAATCAGTGGATACTTTTCCTTACCAATCAGTTTAATTCAAACATTAAAATACAGCAAATTTCATATTTTGAATTTACTTTTGCATCTAGCATGATGAAAGAACTTCCGCGAAGTTCCTTGAATTTTTTGGCTACTTAGTACTTGGTCGATTAAATGAAAATATGGTTTAAAATCAATAAAAAAATAATGTATCTTAATTTAATATGTAATAAACATCATATAGATTTTTATGATTCCGGTTCCTACTGCTTTATGTGAAAAATCATGTAGGTACCTACTCATAATCATAGTTGCAAGTACTTGCAAGTACCTACTTATTTTTTAAATTGTAAAAAATTATCAACAAAAGATTTACGTGTTATTACGTGTTAACGTGTTATTTTTGTATTGTATGTTACTGTTATTATTTTTTGAAAATTTTTGAAAATGGCGCTTTTGGTGAAAGTAGAATTTTTTTGTTCCACCCTGTACAATCGAAAAAATAAGTAGTTACGCTTTAAAAGACCTGAAATGATATTTCACTCACTTCAAATTTTTTTAAATGTGACCTATCAGCTTGCAATAAATACCTTTTCGGTAATGATTCCATTTCCCATTGAAAAAAATGTGACCTTTTTACAGTACGACGCCATTTTAGAAATTTTTCAAAATTGGTTTAAGTCAAAAAGTAGTACCCAGAGTACCCTTGTCTCTGGTAGTACCTATACATGTATATGTATATTTAATGCCTTGTTTAACATACTAAAATTTCAATTTCCAAATACAGAGGTTCAAAAAATAAAACTAAAAAAAAATAATACAACCAAATTTAAAGAATTTAATATTATAATATAATATGGTATAATTATATATAAATATAATACCTATAATAATAGATATGTATTTGCACAATATTGTGGGTATTAGTATATTTTTTAAATTTAAAAAATGATAAATAAAAGAAATGAAATTGAAAAACGAAATTATTTAAGTAGGTACACTGAGAATATTTAGTATTAAGAAACCAAGAGATTTTTAATAATATATGTAAACTATTAAAGAATTCTTCATTGATAAACAAATTTTATAATAATATTATAATTTGGTCCGGTTATTGTGTTTCAGACAAATAAGGGTAAAGTTGTCAAATAACATTGATATATTAATTGTTAACAGTTGCAATATGCAGTAATGGTTGCCTATAATAAGTAGGCATCTACTATAATAAAGTTGAAATCTACTTATCATGGGCAACCCCCATTGCATAATACATCTCGCTTATGTGGCACTAATCGTTAAGTATATAAGTTGACACTGGCTGCATTGCAATTAGAGATTTAGGATCCGAACGAACCTCGGCAAATACACGAATTAGGAATTGTGGACCACGATAAAATTTAGATTTTTTGCTGGAATTTTTTGTTGGAGTCAGGATTGTTTTGTCATGGAATATCCGTGGTCCTCTGCTAAGCAGAGTCTGCTTAAACAGTGATGAAAAATAAGGAAGGGGGCTTCGTCATTCTGAGGTCATATTTATGTCACATTTATTACGTAAATATTATGTAATGGTATGATGTCATTGTTACATCAATATGTTTACGTCATATTTATGTCATATTTATTACGTCAGAGTCTGACGTAAGGAAGTGTGAAATAATGACTCTTGTATGACTCAAGTGTGACCTATATCTTACGTAAGCGTGACTTGACATGACGTCATATTTACGTCATATTTACGTAATTGTGTTTACTGGGGTGCCTATAGGTAATTTCCTATACATTTTCTATCGGGCTGTATCCGGAAAAAACCATGGACAAATGCACATATTGAATCCGGTAGCGCCCGATAGATTATTTTGTATAGGTCTCTATGGGGTATTTTAAGCAGGGTTGTGTTTTGACGTTTTTGAGTAGCTTGAAATCTAATTGAACGATTTGGCTTAAATTGAAGGTATTTGAGCCCTCTAAAACTTTCTTTTACATACTTTTGATATCGGATAAGTATTTTGATGCTAGGGATTTAAATAACTTAAAAAAATCGTTTTTATGGCAAAAATTAAGGTGTAAAATTTACATATCGTCCGGGGAGAGGTTTAAATCAAACAGATAACTCCAGTTTGATTTTTTTTTCGTGGAGCTTACATTTTTATAAAAAAACAAGCTAATGTTGATAAAAATCCATGGAAAATGGCGAATTTTTTCAGCTTTTTGACGATTTTTAAAATAAAACTTTTAATATCTTTAATGCTCAATATTTAATGTTCAATTTTTAATATATAATTTAATTTCAATATTTAATGTTCAATACATATGGGCATTATATAAAAATTTTCAAAAAACTGAATTTTGGTCTTCCACTGAAAAATTCATAACTTCGCCATTTATTCATGGATTTTTATCAACAGCATGCTGCAGTTTTTTTTCCTTTTGGTATTATCTATACGTAAAATAAATCAAACCGGAATTATCATTTTAATTTCTATCTTTCCCATGGGCAGAAAGATATGTAAATTTTCGATCTTGATTTTTGTAAAAAAGCTGTGGACTAAAGTTATTAGTGACTGCTTTTTTACTTCGAAAACTAGTCATTTTTGACTATACTTAATTTATTTTTAGAGACTACGTCACTAAACACCATGGTGCAGTTGTAGTTATTATATTGTTTAGATTGTTTTTTTGTTTCCTTTAGAGTATTTTAATCACTGAATATTTTTTGTGATTTTGTTTGTTTGGTAACTCAATAAATATTTTTTATACTTAATTAAAGCGGTTTTTTTACATTTTCAAATACATATTGCCAGTTTTTCGCAAAATATATATTTTTTAAATTTAAGTGCTTAAAATTAAAATATTTAATGTATTATATTTAAATATAAAAGCAGGGGCGTGCTGGCTGAATCAATGCATTGATTCAGTCAGCAGGCCTGGACTAGATGGTAGAGCAGTCCAGGCCCAAGCCAATTTCATATAAATTGTAAAAATACATCACAGTTAAATACCTCGACTGATAAAACGTCCCGTGATAACTCTCTTCTCAACAAAGAACTGTTTTCAGCTAGTTCAATATATTAAGTCACAATCTAAACCAGTTTGCACCTTTCTCTCCACAGCAATATTGCTATCATAAAAGCTTCCAAATTTACGTCACTTCACACTAATAGGAAAGTATTATCACAAATAAATCAAGACAAAAACTGCGAGAGGGGGCTTTTTTGGATGCTTTTGTAATTATGTTTCTGTTTCTATATAAATCCGAGCTGATCCCCCCTTCCGATAATTTATAAATTTACTAAAATTGCATTTTATCGAAGTAGCCCCACTGAACTATATAGTTCAGTGAGTAGCCCCGGTTCAGTTTGGGTTTTCAAAGAAACGGAAAAAAATTATGAAAGCATCCAAAATATCCCCACGGTTTAGGGTTTCCACCTACGACTTCTTGGTTAAGGGTTAGCATAAAAAATACGTGTTTTAGATTTTTTTACGGGAGTCAATTAAAACTTTCTTTTTTTTAAATTTATTTTAGTGTTTAATGATATAACTTGAAAAAACTTTTTGTTTGGTATAAAAATCTTTTTTCTATTTGCATATGCCATGCCGGTGTCCCGGCGGCCAGCACGCTCCTGTATAAAAGAGGCGCACCAACGAATGCTGCACGTAGGCGCCAGACACCCCAGGAACGGGCCTTTGTTTACCTCGTAAAAATGTTTTCCAGGAAAGTAATATAACACTATTTTCACCACACTATTACCCAGGGTATCGATACACTATTACCCAGGGTATTATACCCCACAAAACCAGTCGGTAAAAAGCTGTGTCAAAAACAACAATATGACACGTGTGCACGTTATCTCATGCAGAATTTCGTTGCCCTGAATGTGCACATGTGGCACCACCGCAATTTTTTTTATAATCTAGTTCCTTATGTAGGTACGTTTTAGGAAAAGAATATTTTTTTGTTTTTTTATGCTATAATAATAAATTTTTTTACTTTTGTTTACCTCTGATGTTTTTTTAGTAAATTATAGCCATATGGCTATAATTAATTTACAACAAAAGTAAAAAAAATTGTATAAATATTTTGTATTTTCAAGTATTTTTCATTTCAAAACAATTAAACTTGTTCAAAAATGTATACCTACATATATTAAAAATATATCCAAATAAGGGAAACAATAGCTAAAAAGAAAAATATATATAATAGCTATAGCTATAACTATAGTTACTGAAATTCATATTTTTAATTGTCTGTCAGACTCGGCGCCACCGTTCATGTTCTGCCAGGAGGCGCCTCCACTCCAGGGTTAATTAAAAATATACACACAATAATTGTAATAATTATTGTGTGTATACAATTAATTGTTTTAAAACTTCTTCATAGGTAGGATAAGATAGGTATCGATTTTTCGATTTATGCACGAATATTTTTATACGAAATCAAATCGCAATTTTTTTTCAGTATGTATTTACCATAAATACTAATAATAATAATTAAAAATAAAGATGATAATAATAAAAATTAAATATTAATTAATAATTAAAATAATAATTAATAAAGACGATATAAATGGTTTGTAAGAAATTCAGTAAATTCTTTAATTCATAAATGTTTAAAATAAACAGATTTGACTCCGCAAGTTCCTTGGTACGTAATTAAGGTGCAATTTCAATAAAGACTTACTGTTTTAATAATTTTACGAACACAGCAAAAATTGTTTATATAATTAATTCCAAAGAAAAACATTCAAATTGAAACATTCCTTAACGCGCATGTGCGATGACGAGTTTTTTTTATAAGAAATTGGTATATGCACGTGCAAGTTGGTTGTTTTACAAATCAAGAATAGGAAGATTGTTAAAATGGTAACAAAAATACCCAAAAAGGGTAAAAATCCTGGATCAGTGGACAGTTGGTTGGATACATTAGGATTTTATAGGAAGAATGTGGCGTATGATGAAACATGTTTGTTTAGGGCAGTCAGTGAACAGGTGGGTGTCTCAAAACTAACTTGATTTTTATAATTTTCATTAAAAATTTGTTTAGTTGTTCGATTGTCAAGTTTACCATGAAAGAGTCAGAAAAGAATGCCTTGAATACGCAAGAAAAAACTTTGATGAGTTTAAATTTTTGGACTTAAATGGAAATTATTGGGCTGAACATTTAAATAAGTTGGAAAAACACATGGTTGTTTGTGGAAATTTGGAATTGAACATAATATCCAAAAAGTATCAGTAAGTTTGTTGACATTGTTTTTATATTGTTTAATTTAATGTTTTGCAGAAGAGACGTTCATATCTTTGATGCTTCAAATCAAGTTATTAAAACTTTGACAAATTATGGCTTTGAAAATCCACTATCCTTATGCTTGATGGATGAGGACCATTATGATGTTATTTATAAGAAAGAACATATTGCAACTGCAGGGTACTGTCAATGTAAGAATAAAATATTTATTATTTTATAAACTTGTTTTACCAGCGGTGTGGCAAGCTGTATTAGATGGGGGTATAAAATTGCAGACAAACATTTCAATATATGCATGAAATATCATTATAAGTGGCATTTCCCAGTAAATAATTTTTATACTTTTAACTATTTTTAACTCAATAAAATAGGTATCTTTTAAAATTAAAAAAAAGGAATATTTGTCTAATTGTATGAAAATATTTTGATGTTTTAAGGGCCGTCCATAAATCTCGTGACGCTAAAAAATTGACCCCCTCCCCCAAAGGTTCATGTGACAAATTATCAAATCCCCCTCCATCTATTTTTTTCTTTTTTGTACTTGAAATGTCACTTTCAATGTTTTTTAAATAATAATTGATCAATGCATGAATTTTAGATTGACCTAGGTTGCTATGGATACATATATATACTATAGTATATATATTTACTATGCTTATTCTTAAAAATGGTGTCTATAACTGAATCGGTGAGAATAAGAACAGTACATGTCCAAATGTTTGAATTTTGAGAAAACAAAATAAACTGTTTATTTTGTTTATTAGGATTTTTTTAGGTTTAAAAGTACAGACAAGCTGTGGTGTATGAGTTTAGACGTCCATTAAACTAAAAATATTTTTTTTATACCACGTGCATGCTTTATTATACACAAAAAATAAACTTGGACTTGTACTGTTCTTAATCTCAATAAAATTTTGACACAGAATTCTTATAATAATCTTTAGAATTTTGTTTTAGAATTGAAAAAAATAAAACATCACGATGTGGTAAAGCATTTTTATAGATAAAAAGCATTTTTTTTTTAACAAAAAGTATTTTTTATTAAAAAGCATTTTTTTAACAAAAAGCATTTTTATTGATCAAAACGGAATTTATTGAACAAAATAAACATTTTTATTGAACAAAAATATTAAATAATCAATTTTGTATACCGGCATCATCATCCGTATTAGTGTTTGGCCAGGATGTTACATGGTGGTAAAACTCTAGATCTTTTCCCTTGATCTACTTCATTATATTAAAAAAAAATTTATATCATTTATTTTCTTTTCATTACATGGTGGTCCAGAATTTTTTTCCAAATGTAGACATATAAAACTCACCACGCTAACGTACAAACTTTCTGTTATTAATTTTTCATCGTTCTGGATTTTTCCTACGTCTCTATCATTTTCGCTACTATCAGATGATAACATTGTTGTATTTTACACTTAAGCAGAATAAAATACCAACTGACAGCTTTCATGAGCATGACCACCTTAAACTTTTAGTAGGTATATAATGTCCATAATTAACAACAACATAAATGCATTTATTGGGAATAAGAACAGTACAAGTCCAGGAGTTGTACTGTTCTTATTCTCAATGCTTCACAGTTAGCTCTGACAAACACCTTAACAAGCCGATTTTAAAAATGTTCTTCTACTTCTTCGTTGCTGCTTCGAATTTAAAACAAAATGGCTATTTCAGATGAAAATGTCAAATTTTGGACTTGTACTGTTCTTATTCTCACCTATTCAACTATGGCAAACAATTATTTTTTGCCAAATGATTTTATTCATTAACTATAGGGCAAAAAATATAGCACACATTTTTAGGGCATGATTATATTCATGCCAAAGTCAGAAACATAATAAAAAATAGCATAATAGTGTTTTGTAGACCTATAGGCAGTAAAGTGAGATTTTTTTCAGACTAAATTTGATTTAATTCATAATTTGCTAACTTTAGATTTTATTAGGTCAATTATTTTATAGAAAGAATAAAGCTTTTGTTTGAATCAAATAAGATACAATACAATAAAAATCTTATTTTTTGAAATTTAACACATACTTTCTTTTCCCTATGGAGATAGTAAAACCTCTAAATTTTTAGTCAAAATCACTTTTATCCCTTGGTTCTGGGTTCCAATATAATATAATAATATATATAATTTCATAGGTGTCTAAATGTAATAAAATACAATGTAGAACAATTTTATTGTAAGCAAAAGTACCTAGGTAGGTTTTTTTGTTATGAGATCACACCTCAAAAAAATCATCTATCTTGATGTCTAATGATTAACAGTGCCACATAATGTGTCCCTCATTGGAACTCTTTTTGATTCTGTCACATTTTATGTGACATTTTATGTAACCTTAATAGCTGGCCATACACAGACGTTATTTCGCGCGGTTTATCGTGGCGTGTTGGGATGTAGCGGTTAGTATGCACGAAAGAACGGCATGGCAAAAAAAGCGTCATGTTCCATACACTTGATAAAGTATTCAAATGATTTAGCAAGTGATTGCGCGTAGTATATCAGTTTCAAAGGAAAAATCGTATGTTAGTGGCCAAAAAGTGTCACGTGACGCGGAATGTGGCGTGTGGCGTGTGGACACTGCTGAAATGATGTACGCCACAATCCAGAGGAAAGCACGTCTAAAATACCTTCCCGTTCTATCATTGCGCGAGGCGATACTCACGTACATGATTTTCCATATATTTTTGCAGATAACACGATAAACCGCGCGAAATAACGTCTGTGTATGGCCAGCTAATTACAAAAATGACACAATCAACAATAATTTGGTATTACCAAATTGGTAATGTTAAATTTACAATTTGCATTGAATTGTGTCAATTTTGTAATTAAGGTAAATTCACATAAAATTTCGACGCACGACAGAAGCTATAGCATACCGTAAACACGGGTGGCTTTGGCTCACTTTCAAACTTCAGCTTAAAATTTTTGTGGTTTTAACAATCATAAACATTAAATTTTGTATACCAAAATTTGAGTCTTGAGTTGCTCTTTCATAATAACTATGTTATAATATTACATAGGGCTGAGTTTCAAAAATAAACATTAAAAACAGGGTGTGCAAAGTTACCCCCTGGTTGCGGGTTACTTTGTCTCACAGTGTTTTTTCAGTATAAAATGAATGTAATATTATATTATATTTTTATTAGACACGTGTTACCAGCGACATATATCTATTGCAAGGGATTACCAATAAAAAAAATAAAAAATCGACCTGTAGTTAACCAAGGATCATCATTCCAATGGATTGCGCATAATATAGAAATTGTAACGCGTGTATTTCTAAGAGTTTTGCACTGATACGATATATACAATTTTAAAGTGTAATAAATCCCATTTCTTTCTTTAAAACACTGATTTTCCTGTAATATAAACTCAATAGAATCGCTCAATTGACAGGTTTAGACCAACAAATTATAAATGTTAATTTTATCGAGCGCGAAAAGATTTTTCATAAATGGGTTAAAGTCACCCGCGGGGTGCAAAGTCACCCGTATTTACGGTATGCAGTATATACACTCTAAATTTTAAAATATTTGTAAATGTACAATAGAAATGTCATTTGTCTTCTGTCATATGTCATCGGTCATCTGTCAACTTGGCAACGTCACATTATTACTTGATATGTTGTTGGTTCCCCCTGTATATGGCTTGCCTGTCATCTGACATTGGTCATCTTGACACCCATAGTATAAAGAATAATGCTGTTATATTTTGTTGGCTCCCCACATCATCTATCTGACCTGTGCTGTTGCTTGATATATTATTGGGCTTATGTTCTGTGTTATTGGGTTTCCATGTATATGGTTGCCTGTCAACTGTCATCTTGTTTGGTTGACAATAAACACTTGTGTCGGTCGGATTTTCTTAAATATTATTACTCTAGAAAAACCGACAGACACGAGAATATTCCCCATTCAAAAACCTCAAACCTTCGTTAACACGTTCGCAGACAAAATCGATTATTTAGTTCCGTGGGCAAAATTTTTTTTTAATAAAATATTCAATACATGTCATTTTTGGGGACAATAATAGCAAAACGCGTCTGCGATTGCAGACACGTGAATTTGTCCGCAAAGTATATCTTCAAAAATATATAAGTTGTAGGTATGTGATCGTATTTGTCTTCTTCTTCTTTTAGCAAGATCCATCCGCCATTAGCTAACTTTCAATATACCTAATGTTTTAAATTTTGTGCTGGGATCCAAATTTGTTTCCCCGAGGTCACAAAGTCATTAGAGGTGTGTACGCTTGGAAGAACCAAACCCGAATTGGATCATACTTGTACATACATATATGTATAAATGTAAAACAAATTTAATCACCGGTGATCTACGTAAATCTCCGGTGATCAATCTTAATTAAACATCATCGATAATATTTAAGAAAAATAGGTACCTATGTATGTTAAATTTTATATTTGATAACAATTCATTATTTATACAATGTACCTATCATATGATCACATATGATCATACTATGTATATGGCTTATACCGGGTGTGCCAGAAAAGCTGGCAGATAATTTAACAGTAAAAAATAGTTTTTAGTTGTTTTACGGGATATAAAAACCATATACGATTATGATCATTAAGGTCCGACAGAGATCTTGGTCTCGCTATTCTTGGCCAAAAATCTTGCCGAGATCTCGTTCTCGACGTTTAAAGACCGAGATTCTCATTACTCGGGAATATAAAGCGCGAAGCATGCGCGGCCAAAACAATAAATAGTATTTTTGTATATTTTTCCGATTTTTTTTTCTATACTTTGTCATGTCTCGGTCTCGTTCTCGGCCGAGACTAAAAAATCAGGTTCGGTCGGACTTTAATTTTCATATGTGATCTAGGATACATTGTATGAATATTGAATTATTAACCAGGTATGTAAACATATTTTCCTTAAATATTTTTGATGATGGATATTCTTTAGATGTATACATTGATTATCAGAGATCTACGTAGATAACCGTTGATCAAATTAGTTTTACCTAAATGATAACATACAAGTTATAATTTTTTATATTTTTCTAAAATGTATAAGGGAATTTTTCCGGAACCAGCACCCGCTCGCCAAGCTTGCTAGAATATAAACGTCCATTTGGCGACACCTATGACTAAATTGTTTAAACTAAATTGCGTCAGAAACAACTTTTCTAGTTGATTATTTCACT